ACTTCCCAAAGTAAAGTCTCTTACTGCCACCATTTATTCCTCTTTGCTATCTTCCACCTCCCCCCAACCTCCTTTTCCCTCTGGCAATCACCATACTGTCGTCTATAGCTATGTTTTTTTTTTCCTTCTTAATCTCATCATCTTTTTCACCCAGCCTCCAATCCCTCTCCCCTCTGACAGCTGTCAGGCTGTTCTATGTTATGTATGATTCTGTTTCTAGTTTGTTTCTTAGTTTATTTTGTTAATTAGATTCCACATGTAAGTGAAATCATAAGGTGTTTTCTGACTGGCTTATTTCACTTAGCATAATATCCTCCAGGTCTATCCATGCTGTCACAAAAAATACAATCTCCCTGTTTTTTCATAGCCGAGTAGTATTCCATTGTGTAAATGTACCATAGCTTTTTAAAAAAATTATGTTTATTGATTTTTAGAGAGAGAGAAAAAAAGAGAGAAGCATCAATGTGAGAGAGAACCATCCATCTGCTGCTTCCCACACATGCCTTAACCAGGGATTGAACCCACAACCTGGGCATGTGCCCTGACAGGGAATCGAACCAGCAACCTTTCGGTGCACGGGACCATGCCCAACCAACTAAACATACCAGCCAGGGCTACCACAGCGGACCCCAGTTTCAGCTACATGTCTATTTTTTATTCAATATATTAAATATATTAATCAGAAAAGTCACATACTATAAATCCAGGCAAATACACAAATATAAATGTCAGAATGTCATTTGTCTTCCTCCTCGAGTGAGTTTATGTACATATGGAAGGAGGTGGCAAGAGAGAGTCAGTAGGAAGAGACTGGGAAAGGCTTGCCCAGGTTGGTGGGTCCCATCCCTTCCTCTCACCCTCCCTGCAACCTCAACCTCTTCCTTCCTGTATTTGCAGCAGCATTTGTCTTATTTACAGCACAGCAGTGTGTGTTAAAAATGGTTTTTATCTTACAGAAACATGAAGGCCAGGGCTGGGATGGGGGGTAAGACAAATAGAAGGGGTCTCCCCCATGAATGCATCCCCCTCTTCCAGGGGGTGACCTCCCGGAGCAGATGAGGAGGCCAGTCTGCAGCTCCAGCCCCGGCGGGGGGCGGTGCTCCGGGGGATCCAAGGTCCATGGGCTCAAGGCACGTGGGGTGGCGTAGGAGTGTGCGCACACGGTGCACACGTGTCCCTAGGCTGGGGTCAGAAGGACAGCGTCTCCATAAAGATCTTGTTGACGATGGGCGGAGGGGGCACCAAGTCCTCCAGCTTGAGGTAGAAGATGTGCTGCAGGCCTTGGGTGCACAGGGTCCATAGCTCGGGCAGCTTGCCCAGCAGGCGGGACAGGCAGCTGGCCGGCTGGGGCTCACCCGCCACAGCCGAGATGTGCTCCTTCAGGCAGCTGGCGATGCAATTCTGCAGCTCCTCCACCCGCCGAGGCTCCTGCAGCCCGCGCCGGTCTGTGATGAGGACAAGCGTGGAGAGGCACGCAAAGGCAGGGACATCAACAACCAAGCTGTGCAGGGACCGAGAGAAGGCCAGAATGCTGTCGATCCAGTCGCCGAAGCCCCAGCCGCTGTAGCACGAGGCCGGAGCAGAAGATGAGCTTCCCCTCGCCTGGCTTAGACCGGTAGGCCAGGCGGAGGATGAAGAGCTTTTTTTATCCACTCATCTACTAATGGGTATTTGGGCTACTTCCAGATCTTGGCTACTATAAATAACACTGTGTCCACTTGATTTATCTACAAGGAAGTCATTGGAGACCTGGGCAAAGCGATTTCAAAGGCATAGCAAGAGGGTGATTGGGTCCTTGAGCAGACAAAAAGAAAATCTAGAGCACAAGGGGAGGGCAGCCCTTAGTTAGGAGCAGAGACTTCACTTCTGTTGTAATTGAAAGTATGAGAGGAAAGGGAAGAAAAGATGGCTGCAGGTTCAGGTTTAGCTTATAGGTTTGATGGCAAGAAGTGGAGAAAGCTCACATCTGGTAGATTCCTTCTCACTCTCTCTCTTTTTTTTTTTTAAACTCAGCCGAGGATATGTTGAGGTTGAGAGAGAGAGATATGTGAGAGAGAAGCATGGATCGGTTACCTCCTGTACAAGCCCCAACCTAGGTATGTGCTCTAACCAGGAAACGAACCTGCACCTTTTGGTGTATCAGATGCTCCTCCAACCAAATGACTGACCCAGACAGGGCTTTTTTTTTTTTTTTTTTTTAAAGGGAGGTTAAAAGTCATTTGTTAAGTTTCAAGGGAGAGGTTTGAAAAGAGTAAAGATTTAAATAACCACTATGGAAGATGGGTAAGAGAACTAAACAGGAAAATATAAAAGGCATAATTGAGTAATATTTAACCTCCCAAAACTGATTACAGTTTCTGGAATGCATCCTACTGAAACATATACCTATGTCTGACATGTGTTGTTTCTTCCACTTCTTCTGGGGAGTTCTATTTACACTTAAAAAAACAACTCTATCTAGACTTTCCTGACACTCCCCTAACCACTCCCCATTATCATCCTCCTCTGTACATATTAATGTTTTACTTTGTACACAATTTACTACTACCCTTACAACCCTATTACAGTGGCTGTCTTTATAGCTCTATAAGACTATTTCCCCTACTAAAATGGTGAGCTACTTGAGGGTGGGAACTGCCTATATACCAGGAACTAAAACTTTCACTCAACTGAATTTAAATTAAGATACAAAGATATATCAGACAGAATCTAACCTACAGAATCTAACAAAATCTAGTTCAGAAAACACCACCATTAGCGTTGGCTGGTGTGGCTCAGTTGGTTGGGCATCACTCTGCACCAAAGGGTCACCAGTTGGATTCCTGGTCCAGGGCATATGCCCAGGCTATGGGTTCCATCTCCTGTCGGGGTGTGTGTGGCAGACAACCAATCCATGTTTTTTCTCTTACATGGATGTTTTTCTCTCTTTCGCTCTCCCTTCCTCTTTCTAAAAATCAATAAAAGCATATTTTTTTTAAACAAAGGAAAACAAAACCATTAGTTAAGTTTTGACAAAAGTATATATGTTATGAGAAGCCAAGTAATTACCCTAGCTCTGTGGTCGGCAAACTGCGGCTCGCGAGCCACATGCGGCTCTTTGGCCCCTTGAGTGTGGCTCTCCCTAAGCCTTAGGAGTACCCTAATTAAGTTAATAACAATGTATCTACCTATATAGTTTAAGTTTAAAAAATTTGGCTCTCAAAAGAAATTTCAATCGTTGTACTGTTGATATTTGGCTCTGTTGACTAATGACTTTGCCGACCACTGCCCTAGCTGGTTTGGCTCAGTGGACAGAGAGTAGGCCTGTGGACTGAAGGATGTGGGTTCGATTCCAGTCAAGGGCACTTGCCTGATTTTTGGGCTCCATCTCCAGTAGGGGGCATGCAGGAGGCAGCCCATCAATGATTCTCTCTCATCACTGATGTTTCTATCTCTCTCTCACTCTCCGTTCCTCTCTGAAATCAATAAAAATAAGCCAAGTAATTAAGGGCAATAACAACATATACAACAGTCAGAGAAAACAATTTAGAACTGTCAGATGTAAGAAACACCCAAATCCTGTAAGAATTTTCATGTGTTTAAGCCAAACTGATGACAACTGCCAGGAAGCAAAATCTCAATGGATTTGAGAAAATGCTCCAGAGAAGACATAAGGGGTTACATGAAATCCATTGGTGGTAGATTAGGGAGGCAGAAGAAAGCAAAGCTAGGAAATCTCTAAGATTGGATAAAGGGTAAAATGAAAAGACAAATACTTCTTTTATGCAGGGCGTGGCTATACAGTTAAGCCTAGGACTGAACAGTTGGCAAAGTCACAAACAAGTCCCAGCTTAGAGGGCACAGTCCTCTTAGCATAATTAGGCTTGACCTTATGACGCTCTCTAGATCTTATCTGGGCAGCTAATGGGCTGAGGGAGATACAGCAAGTGCTGCCAAAACGAGTGAAACTCACAAGAACATTGTAACTATGGTGACCACTACCTTGTTTACCTCTGGCTATAAAATAAAGGCTCAGCTTGCCTCGCCGTGGGCAAACTACGGCCCGCAGGCCGGATCCGGCCCGTTTGAAATGAATAAAACTAAAAAAAAAAAGACCGTACCCTTTTATGTAATGATGTTTACTTTGAATTTATATTAGTTCACACAAACACTCCATCCATGCTTTTGTTCCGGCCCTCCGGTCCAGTTTAAGAACCCATTGTGGCCCTTGAGTCAAAAAGTTTGCCCACCCCTGATCTAGACCCAGCTTATTCTCTTTGTCTTTTCTTCATCCACTCGCTGCCCTCTGGCTCGGCACACTTTTACATTGGTGGGTACTGGATAGTTAACAAGTAACACAGCAAATAGAGATGGTATGTGGGAGAACAAGATAACAATGAGGGGGTTCTGTGGTCCGGTGTTCTGGTGGGAGATTGTGCCCTGAAGGGTATGGCAAAAGGGAGTTACTCTGACATTCCAATGATATGTTATTGTAGATGCAACAAGACAGTAGACAAGCTCAGTTAAAGATTGAGCTTTGTCAAGAAAGACACTAGCCTAGGACATGACTAACCATCCCAATTCGTTTTCAGTTAGTAAGTTTTAATTGCAGACCATCCTATGTGGTTACTTTAGGTCTCTGAGTTTGTATGGCTTACCAGGCAGGCCTCCCCTGAGCTTGTCAGGTTTAGTTTGTGCCCCCCCCTTTTTTTTTAATATATTTTATTGATTTTTTACAGAAAGGAAGGGAAAGGGAAAGGGAGTTAGAAACATCGATGAGAGAGAAACATCGATCAGCTGCCTCCTGCACACTCCTCACTGGGGATGTGCCCGCAACCAAGGTACATGCCCTTGACTAGAATCGAACCCAGGACCCGGTCAGGGCTGTGGCCCCTTTTTCATCCACAGAACTTTCATTTATAATCTACTATGGTCTCCAAATGTTTGCATATGATTCTTGCTGTGATGTTCAATTCTGCACCTACTATATGCAAGGTGATGCTATTAACAAACACTGTGGAATACAAATAGTAGTTTTACGATGAGGTAGAAAAGATTAAATTATCAAATTATTTTAATACATGGTCGAATGTGACAATTCAGGAAGAAAATGAAGAACAGATTAGAAGGGTCTTAGGACTCTGAACTTGATTCTGAAGAATAAGAGATGTGGGGCATGTTGACTGAAGTAATACACCTTAACGTGCTTCTCAAATGTATTCTGTTGAGCTTATCTTCTGACATCTAGCAATTTCTATCCAAAACTGACAATAAGCCTGACTATTACATTCAATTCCTATCCTTCATCCCAGCCTGAACGAATGCTGCAAACCCTCTCCCACGGCTGTGGATAAACGCCTTTAAGGAAACAAACGAACCTGCAGGAGATGCCACGTGTGCGGCCCCAGAATGTAACAGAGGGGACGTCCTTACAAGTAAGTCCCTCTTTCTCCGGCGCCTGCCGTCTGCTCTCGTCCGACACTTTTCACGGGATGAGACGCTTCACCCTTCGGCCAAGACCCGCGGCCCCGGCCAGCGGCGGCCAACGCGAGTCCCCCGTCCCGGGTCCCA